CCGACACGCACAATACAGCGAATCATGACGAACTGATGTTGAACGAGGTGTGCACGTCTGCTGCGTGCAAAACGCGTCAGATCCCAGTGCATAGCGCTTTGGATTCAACGCTGGTTGGGGAGTTCGGCCATGCATGAAGCGAGAGTCCAAGTTTGATGTAAGCATTGCCGTGACCATTCCTCCCGACCAACGAGTTCACGCATTGCCGGACACGCTCTGGCGCCACGGACGACTGCGAAGCCCACCAGGTGGTCCGACCACGGCGAAATTCAATACAAGCGGGTAGGTTAAGTCGTATCTTCTTGTGTAAAGACGCATCTCGGGCGCGTGCACACTGGGATTCGCGAATTCCAAGATTGGTCAGAACCCACTTGCACCTGTAAGCAGAAATCTAATGCACGCTGACGAAAATGTGCTCCCCTCCCAGGCATGCGGTGACAAGTGCGTATTTTGCACGTGTGTCGAGAACATGCGCGTGCGGCGCGTGCACATTGGGGGAAAGGCTTCAACACATGTCTCTGTGATGTGACTTCGCTCGCAGCCGCGTGTCATTGGGGAGATGTGACTTCACACGCAAAGACGTGACTTAAACTACCCGCTTGTATCCATCTTGTGCTCATGATTCATGACATCGCAAATAAGCGAAAAGCCACGTCACATGAGTACGTCACGGCATCGAGTCTTTAAATCCCTTTTTGTTGAACAAGTCCTGATCTCAAGAGCCCTACATTCGCCACTCTATGAACATTGCGTTCCGCGGAACAATGCAATGGTGACATTTTGGCATTTCGCCACTCAATGAACATTGCGTTCCGCGGAACAATACAATGGTGACACTTTGGCATTCATTCTTCAGTTGCAATTGCAACGCTTGAGCTCGATGATGGCGTATCCTCACGGACAGGCTCTCGCTCGTCGAAGGCATCCCGCAAAAAAGGGCGAAACTTCTCCGACGCAGATGTCGTCCAGGGGCTCGAGTGTGTATGTCCTCGCCCTCGTGCAAACGTTGCTTGAACGCTGTAATCAAAAAGAGCTGGGAAAAAAAAAACACAACAACAAACGTCAAACGAAACACGTCTTTTTTCGAAATTTCATTTGCAAAGCTGAAACATCAGTTTAGAAAAATGAATCGGGCTGAGAGCGCGTGCGACCAACATTGCACTGTCAATCGTGGAAACCTCAACATCCGAGCGGGTTAAACATCGTGGTGTCGGTTCATATGGTGGTGTGACATGTCTTCACATTTTTGCTGGACTTTGCGGTTCGCATCCGCGCATGCGGCGCGCCGCCAACAGTGCGCCGAGCGGCCGCATCCGGCTGGGCAAGACGTTGGTGGAGCAGCATCTCGTCGCCGTTCAACAGGCCGTGGGCACCACGACCCTGGGTCGTACGTGGCCGTCCGCTTCCACCGCGGCCGACGAGCCTGCCCCACCGCTTGACCGCCTCCTGGAGCCTGGGCCGCCCGACCCAAGCCGGCTGCCATTGCGGGCATAGCTACAGCCCGGGTAGTTTAGGAACAGCTTAGCCGACCGAACGGATCAGCAGGCGTAAACAACCGGCAGCTTTTGTCTGCGCGCGGAGCGAAAGCAGCAAGCAGTCAGCAGCGCAGGGCGAACGCGCCTGCATAACCGGGAGGCGGGAAGATTTTGCCCATACCCCCCTTTTCTCGACGCATTCAATACCAGGACCGAGTCCCTCCGAGGCTGGCAGCGTGGGGCCACGTGGGGCCGCCCATGCTTGTGACGCACCTTGCTGACCCTTCAGCAACATTCGAGTGTTGCTGCTGTCCCAAGCTGGACCGACGTAGTCCTGGCGCGGCTTGCGGCTTGCGAGTTTGGTAAGAGTGTGTACTCAGTGTACTCCAATGCCTCTCTGCCCTGACCCATGGGGCACTGTGGCAAATTTCGCTCACACATACACATGCACATGCACATGCACATGCACGTACACATGCAACATGCAACATGCACGTGCACATGCACACACATACACACGTACACATACACATTTACAGCAAAAAATACACATATACATATGGCAGTGTGACAGTGGCGGAAGGACGCAAGTGGGCAGCCTACCCAGAACTCGCAAGGGGCGGCCCGCAGAGGCTGGTCGTGCTCGGGACCGAAGTGGGAGGCCGCTGGAATGGAGGCGCACTGCGGTTCGTCAGAGATCTGATCCGTTTGCGCGCCTGCCGCGCGCCCCCCACAGTCCGGCAAGCAGCGGCAGCAGGCTGGGCGAGAAGGTGGTGGAGCGTGCTGTCGGTCGCTGTGCAAGCGGCCGTCGGCACCACTGCCCTTGGCCAGGCGCCCTGCATCCCGGCAGGCTCGGACTTCCTAGCCGCCTGCCCATGCGGCCTTGGGACCACGCGTCGGCGCCGGAGAAAAGGAGCGTTAAAAAAAAAATTGACGGGGCCCCTGTTGCCAGGACAGAGGTTCTTTTCGGAAAACGATGACACGAAAAAAACGACATTCTTGTTATGCTTGGTACATTTGCTGCTCCTGGCTTGTTTTCGTCGTTCATCACGTCATAGTATCAGATCTTGGAAAATCCGGCACAGTGTTTTGCGCTAGCGCCGTGCTCGCACGGCGCTAGCAACATGTCAACGCAACCCCCCCCGGCAGACCATGGCCCATTCCTCCTCTAGCAGACCACAAAGGAACACCGTAGAACCGCGAGTGCTATGCTTGCTGGAGCTCGAGCCCCGCAAGTGGCGACAGCGGAGAAACCTTCGCTCGCGCCAGAACTCCAGCAGTAGCAGTATGTAGCAGTAACACCAGCAATTCCTGTGACGACTCGTCCGACAGCGGCGCCTGAAAAATTGTCAAAAAGAATGGTCCGTGCCAGCACCCTTTCATGCTTGGATCACAGCACACACACACACACACACACACACTCAACAGACATACACACACACACACACACACAACACATACACAGACACATACGCAACACATACATAAAAAAAAAAATATATGAGCAACCGCTTTTATTTACGCACGAGCAGAGTTACTTTGGATGTGCACTATTTTTTGGTTGGGGTGTCGCTCTCTCTCGGTAACGAGATCGGGGCCGAACATCAAACGAGATCATGTTGCAGATTGAAGATATTTATGATTGTACTGTACTTGTTTACTTGCATATTCTGCATACATAATCCTTATCTGTACCTATATTATATATTATATATATGTGACTAAGCCTTTGTTTAGTTATATATGCATAGACACCATGTATAGTTGTGTGAAGGCGTTCGCTAAACGATGAAGAGTTGGTTTCGCGTAAGCTATTGCTGGCAAAAGCTGCTCGCTGGGAACGGCGGCTGTGCTTTGAACCGCGTAGACTCAGAAGCCTTTGAGGCTCAACCGCTTCGGCCCAGGTTGGGGATTGAGAGGACGTGGGGTCTGGCGGGCCTGGAGATTGCTGCCGATCCCAAACGAGATCCAGACGTGATCAAAAAATTGCACGAAGGCAGCTAGGGAAGCCAGAGGGCCATGGGAGGCACAATCACAAGGATTAGGGTTTAGGAGTTATTGAGACAGGGCTGGAAGGTTTAGGGCCAGTTTAGGAGTGAAGTGTCTCCTGTTTAATTAGTTGCTTTCCACGGAGGCAACAAGAGTACTGGGGCACGTCTTCGCAACAACTTGAGCTCTGCTCCCTAAACCCCAACCGTAAACGGGTGGAAATGACAGAGTTGTTCAGAGAAGCACTATGGGTTACCGGGCGAAGGTTAAGGGCAACCATATCACTCACTACACTCCAAGTTTTAATACTGAACGAGATCACCCCTTAAGACGACTTTGGCCCGGAAGAGGTGTTTTAAGGCAAACGAGATCAGGGACCGAACATTAAAATAGGCTCATTGCGCCCGCCAGCAAATAAAATCCGACGCTCATATACACACACGCAAATACATGCTTATGTATGTATGTAAATATATACAAATGCCAAAAAATATTAGACTTTTTTTGTTTATTTATGATATTTAATTTTTGTTTGTTTATTCAGGCGAGATTTGACGGGCAAATCAGCATTAGCGGATGCTAGTAGCTGCGAGTTGCGGATGTTGCGGGTCATGTCCATGGAATTTGCGCCGCGACAGGAAGACTCAGCGTGTGCTGCGTCTGGACAAGCGTTCCCTCCATGGCCAGGCCAGGCGGCGCAGCACAAATCTCGTGCAGTTCTATAGGTCCAGTGCTTGTCAACTGCGCACACGTTTTTGCATGAATCAACTTAAGGATTGGTTGCATATTGCGTGTTTTCAACTGGGGCCAAGCCATAGTCACATGCCGCACGAAGTTTGGATTGTTCTACATACGACCCAGAGAAGGCCGTCGTTAGGTTTGGGTACTAACATGTGGCCCCTTCACAAAAAGCTAAGTCTTTTGCAGCAAAGAGGCATCGCATGTTGAACCAGCGAAGTGCTGCGAGGTTCCACGTGGACCCAGGTCCGCGACCAAATGTGGAGGCAAGGGTTCAGAGTTTCTTCAGGAGTTTGGTTGTAGAAAAAATTTAGGGTCCAGGGTGTAGGGTGTAGGGTTTAGGGTTCATCTTTTATAATATGGTTCCCTTCCGCACAATTACCGGTTACATGTTTCGTTTTCGTTCTTAAGGAAACCTTCGCCGGTCGGGAGTGAAGTTCTCGCCGCACAGACGCCGGACCTGCAAAGGGCATGCGATCTTTTTGTTGAATCCACTTCTTGTGCCCTCTGTGACAGATGCGTCGCTGCATTTTTCGAGGGCCAGTACGTTCAAATTACGCTGAACACACAGGCCGGAAGCATTTCGTTGGCGCGCATTGTCACGTTGTTGCATTGAGTGTTTGTGTCTCAGCCTTGGCCGGCAGGACTTTTGGCAGGGCTGGAAGCGCAAAGGGGCGCCCCCGGCCATGCCAGCGCGGGCCCAGACTAACCTGAGTGCTTGGCAAGTTTCCTAATGCTTCCGATTTTCCCTCGAAATGCCCGTGCGAGGATTCATTTGGTTTGTGCATTCCCCGTGGGATGTGTAGTGAAGAAGCGGTGACCCTCAGGCGGCAATGTCAGGGGCATTTGCCATTTCTTATACACGGTTGAAGGGCGGAGTGCGCAACGCCAAATCCGCGTTTTTCTTTTCCAGGAAGATTGCAGCACTTCTGCAACCAAAACTCCCGGGCGGATGCTCATGTGTCTTCGCACAAAGCCATTCACCGAGGAAATGGCTCTTGGTTCCACTGCTTTGGCTTTACGTTCAAACGGATGATCCTGCCTTCGTGGACCACCAAGAAGCCTGGCAGCAAAGTCAATGCGACATAAGTCATAATTCAACCCCCACCGCGCAAGTTCGGCATAGGTTAACGATTTCAGTTTTAACCGAGTTTTCCATTATTTCTTTGAGACATGTCCTTCCGTAAGGGTAATTTGGGGATGATTGTTGTTTCACATTTTTTGGTGGTAAATAGTAGCCTTTGTTTTTTTTCTTCGAAGCGGTTATCCGGTTGAATTTGAATCCCCGGGGTTAGGCAGACTCTTAAAAAAAACCAAAAAACAAAAAACACATATACATTTATATATATATATATAACTATTGAGGCCTTCTCGGCAGAGGTCGACACCTTCCGGGCCGCACTCGGGGAAGCGCCAGGATCCATCAACGTCACTTCGGGCACCCACCTCGAGGCACATCGACATACAGCTCGTCAATAGGGATTCTAGTAATTCTAGTAATTCTAGTAATTCTAGTAATTCTAGTAGCCCCTACTATCATCCCTATTTTTTCTTCTCGCTTTTCAGACCTGGGCTGCAAAGCGAGAAGAAAAAATAGGGATGATAGTAGGGGCTACTAGAATTACTAGAATCCCTATGAAGGGCTGTTAGGGGGAACATCCCAACCCCAACCCTCTAAACATCCCACGACACAGAAGCCTTGAAGCCCCGCAATCTGACAAGTTTTCTAAGCTCAAACCCAGAAGCACAAGCATCCTCAACCCAAGGCCGCCCAAAGCTTCAGATTCAACCCGGCCTTCACCCCGTAATTTCGACATTGGGTGGGATTCGTCTAGCAGTCCTCAAGAGGGAGTAAAGTACCCCCCCCCCCCCTTTGTAATCCCGTTTACGGACTGAAAGAAAAAGGGGGTCGTCCCAAGATTTTTGTCGCCTAGTTGCGGGCGTTGAAGGCTTACTGATCTCGGTATTGCATTCCCCACAAGGAGTGCACATTGGATCCAGGGGGTTTGGCAAGGGGGGGGGCACCTGGCTTGTAGAATCCGGGTGCAGCATGACATGACCCCTCTGCATAGTTTGAGGGTGCAGACGGCTAATAAATGGGGTTTCGGTCGCGAGGAGATGATACACCACCTGGCCACCGACGAACTGGAGCGCAGCATGATCAAGTAGTTTGTCCTGCTGATTGAGATGACGTACCCTAAACCCTACACCCTCAGCCCTAAAGTTAGTTTGCCGCGCTGCCCCTTGATTTTAAGGACAGTAGCCAGTAGCATCGATTAAAATTTCCGATGGCGCGCGGAGGAGGCAGCTTTACCCAGCCCGCCTGCACATGTGACGGGCGTCGCGTGCCGCTCGGCAAAGTGTTATCAACAAACCCGAAACCCCAAACCCCAAACCCTAAACCCTAAACCCCAAACCACAAACCACAAACCCAATCAAGCGCTGAGAGATCCAATCAGGTTTGCAACGCCAGGCTGCCATCACCTCACATCATCAATACCCAACAACAAATTTGAAAGGTTGTTGGGGTCCAATTAAACCCTAAACCCTAAAACCCGAAACCCTAAACCCTAAACTCTATAAACCCTATCAACCCTATAAACCCTATAAACCCTATAAACCCTATAAACCCTATAAACCCTATAAACCCCAAATATCTCCGAATGCTTGAAGGCATTGTGGGCCATCTCCGCACCCTGGGGCTCCCCAAGGTGACTTGGACAGGGATTCGGATTTCAAAATCGTTGGGCGTAAGGTTTAGGTTTTGAGGGTTTTAGGGTTAGACATAGGGGGTTTAGGGTTTAGGGTTTGAGGGTTTTAGGGTTAGACATAGAGGGTTGAGGGTTGAGGGTTTGAGGGTTTAGGGTTTAGGAGTGTGGTTGAGGGTTGCTTGTGCCCAAGCATTTTTGCAGGAGCCAGGTTGCGTGTGTGATCACACTGAGGTGCATCAGAACTTGCGCAAGAACGATGCTCGGCTGAACATGTGGCCCGGGGCTAAACCGCTCCCCATACTGCTAATTCCACATCATCAACACCCCTATAAACCCTAAGCCGTGCACCTCCCACCTGGATGTTAAAGGGCAAGATGATCACTTAAAATGGAAGGAAGGGGGGGGGGGTGGTTGCAGTGGTTCAGCAATGGTTCTGTCTCAGGTCCCGGATTGCTCTTTTGGGGAGCTTGGAATTCACCTGTGTCCTTTGAAGGAGTTTGAGTGCGCCCTCCCTTTCTTTATCCCAAGTGCAGCATATGCACATGTGACCGTGTAAATTTCAGAGCGCCCTAAACCCTAAACCCTAAATCCGCTTCTTTTAGGGTTTAGGGTTTAGGGTTTACGGTTTAGGGTTTAGGGTGCAGGGTTCCTGTGAGCCAGGCTCTGGATTCCCTGCACTTCACTGAGCTTCGAACCATTCTGGTCACGGAGTTCGGCAGCAGCATGCCCGACGACGTGACGTGGACCAGATGTTGTGCAGAAGACGTGAGCCCAAATTGAAAGTTCCACCTCCCAATTTAGGGTTTAGGGTTCCTAACCCTAAACCCTACACCCTAAACCCTAAACCCGAAGAGCAGGTCCAGTCTGGCTGTGAAGGTATCATTCCAAACCCCGACTCAACTAGCGAACCAGATAACTGCATGCTGAGCAGCTGCCGTGCCGATCATGCCGAGCGCCGTTTACCCACCAACATGGCGTTCAGGGCCAGACTGTTCTTGAAATAGTTTTCCGATTCAAGCTGTTTCCCAGTATGAGGGAGCATGATTGAAAAAACTAAGTGAACCCGTTGAGTTTAGGCGTTACCTCAGTCCACGCATTCAGGAGTAACTGGGTCGAAGTGGAGAGAGCTGTCCTTCTCGGCATATCCTACCCTTGCACAACCCCAAACCTAAATCCCCCCTCCTCCCGGAGCCTTGCCTGCTTCTGCAAGCGTGAAAGTCGAAATCCCCCCCTCCTCCGAGGCCGGGGCGTCGAATGACATGGCCGAGTCGCTCAGGACGGGCTTAGCCCTCAAACCCTAAACCTGGGTGGGTCTATGTCGAGGCCACTAACGCCGGTCAGTTGATCCTAGGACCCAAAGTAGGTCCCTTGTTCCTCTTTTTCGGGTTCAGGTTCCCTTATATATGGTTCCGTGTCCCGTGTCGGTACCCCCTCCCCAACCCCCCCCCCCCCCCCCCCCCCCCTAACCCCTACCCCCTAACCCCTAACCCTAAACCCTAACCCTAAACCCTAAACCCTAAACCCTAAACCCTAAACCCTAAACCCTAAACCCTAAACCCTAAACCCTAAACCCTAAACCCTAAACCCTAAACCCTAAACCCTTACCCTAAACCCTAAACCCTAAACCCCTAAACCCTCACCCACATGTAGCCATTACAAGCCCTTTCAGACCGCGACCACAGAGTTCATGTTTCTCACGGCCCCGAATGTTACAAGGGCCAGACTCTATACCGTGGGCCCTTAGAAAGGTCCCTTTACCCTTGTTGAAACGGAGGCATGACAGCATGTATTGTGTATGTAAGGGTTACGTAAAAAGGGACCCAAATTAAGGGCCCATACCTGCAACCTCAGATTCAACCCCCCCCCCCCCCCCACGTTAACCGGATTGACTACTCCAGGAGCAAAAACCCCACACGCAGCTGGACAGAAATGGCTCCTGCACTCGAGTCGATTGCACCGGACCGTTTCTGCACATGATTGGGTTGATCAGGCCTTTTGCTTCAGGATCAAAAGCTGCAAGCCCTAAGCCGTAAACCCCAAACCCTAACACGCCTAGGACCTAGGCACCTTGCATATGTGTGAGGAGAACTGGGATGGGTTCTCCTGCACTGCACATGAGTCCTGGAACCCTAGGCCGGTACCCTGGTGCACACACTAGGACAGGAGAGGTTAGGGTTTAGGGTGATTTCAATGGGGGTATTCAAGTTAGGGTTCCTAAAAAACATCCTGGCACGGGGTCTCTGGGTCGCTTCCTGAGCTCCTCTACCCTGAACCCTAAACCCTAAACCCGAAACCCGAACCCCTAAACCCTAAACCCTAAACCCTAAACCCTAAACCCTAAACCCTAAACCTTACACCCTAAACCCTAAACCCTAAACCCTAAACCCTAAACCCTAAACCCTAAACCCTAAACCCTAAACCCTAAACCCTAAACCCTAAACCCTAAACCCTAAACCCTAAACCCTAAACCCAACACATGAGCTTGTAGGATCTATACAGGCGTCCTCCCGGCGACCTCCGAGTCGCCATCAAAGTCCGAACACATTGGTGCCAAGTAGCCGAGACTGCTTTCACGAAGACTTACTCTAGCCCATTCAGGAGGGTCGGGCTTGGGGTTTGGGGTTTAGGGTTTAGGGTTTGGCTACGTCCCTAAAGCCTAGTCGCAAAAGGGTTTAGGTTTTAGGGTTTAAGGTTTACGGTTTAGCGTTTAGAAAAAAGGAAAGGTTATTTCAGTTGCCACTGCGTGTTTAGTTTGAATCCTTTCCATTTTTTGAAGGTGCAAAAATGAACCCTTCACCCATGAAGTCCCATGCTTTTCGAGGATGTCATCCTGAATGTGCCTGTCGTGGAGGAAGGACGGTCCAGGAAAGCCTCAAAAACGCTGCGTTGTAGAACTGAAGACCAGGACCCAAACCCCAAATGCTTGGATCCAGAAGCATGGCTCGTGCGGTTACATGGTTGTGGCCAGAAACAGCCTTAGAACGCAGACGAAAAGTAAGCGAAGACCCGAAGCCACTCTGTCAACCTCGGCCTTGCTTGCTTGACATGTTCAGGGGGTCCGCAAAGGAATCCTCGGGACGGGTACACTTGTCGTATGAAGGCTTAAACCGCTCCCTTGGGCCTTGGAGGACACCCACCCGACCGGAAATGCGCCGACACCTATCCATTGTCCTGCAGCTTTGCTGAATCTCCGACAGGTGCGCTTTCGAACTACACCTCATGAGCTGTACCAGAGGCCCTATAAAGCCTAAGCCCTACAAACCCTTCCCCTAAACCTTAGCCAGAAGCAACGCTATTTCAATAGCTCATGGTTTCACGCTAACACCCGTCTGTCCACGCGGCAGCACTTTCAGAAATTCAATCCGAAACTAAACTCTAAACCCTAAACCCTGAACCCTTGCTTCCTTTGAGGCAATGCTCAGTGGAAGAGGTTGGAGCTCTGCATGTCGCAAGTGCTATCCCTGGAGCTCCTTGGGTCCGAAGTCTTTTCGGAGTCATGGTCCCTGTTTCGGCCCTAACTCAACATATGGAAAGCCCCTGATTATAATAGGTGACCCCCCCCCCCTCCCCTTCAAAAGGGAGAATGACTTAGGGAACCCCCCAGTGGTAGCTCCGACCCTCTTGTAACGAGCCTGAGACTTGAGGGTTTATACAGCTTCTAGGACGCAGGGCCTTAGAGAAAGAGAAGATTGAACTACAAAAGGTTGCTTGCACGCTGGCCATCCGGGTTTAGGGTTTTGGATTTAGGGTTGTGAGAGGTTTCACTACCTTCTGAAGTCTTGGGGGGTTTGGCGATTTGGGGTCGGGTTTATGAGTATACCTGGACAAGATTCAAAGGGGGCTTCCTGAACACACCCGATCCACTCCTACATGGGCTGAATGCCAAGGTGCAGGCAGGTTTTAGTATATAGCTAATATATCGATATAGTTATGATTGTACACATATGTATATATATATATAGAGAGAGAGAGATGGCCGAAATGGCTCCAGAACAGGATGCATTTGCTTGGGTAGGGTTTTGCTTCGCCACTTAGCCGAGGCAGCAGCGTGGTGAACCTTTCGACTGGGTGATTCGTTTGCGCACGGACATGCATTTTGGCAGCTCGGTTGCGATTGGAGTTGCCTACTACGTCTCAAGCCCTCAACATCCCTTAAGCACACTCGTGCAGTGAGCGTCGTTGACAGGTGTGGACTGTGGACAATGATTTTTCGCTGATCTGGTGAGTTTGTTTGTGGGCTTCCTGCCCATAGTTGTGGCCTTCAGTACTGAGCTACTCATGCCTTTAGCGAGACACGCTGACCGCTGAACCAAACATCATCGGCACGGCACCATGCAGGGCTTCAGACTCTGGGATAACTAGCTTCTTTCTCTGCTCCTCCTTTGACAAGAACAAGGTTTCTGGGCTAGATGCAATATTAAATGTACCTGTGTTCAGCACTGCAGGAGAAGCTTACCGAACCGTACACATGCCAGGGATCAAGCAGAAGACCTGCCACCCGACACACGGTCAGGTGTCCCCTTGGGCGACATTCGAATCTACGACCCGGCTTACGTGCACTTGCCAGTGGGAAGCTGGACGGATCCACACGACGCGCGGCGTTTCCTCCATGGCTGTTTGCTTTTTTAAAGCTCTTGTTGCTTCAGAGGAACAAGATAGCACTCCGGTTGGGGAAAGAAAGACATCATTCGGTCTGATGGGCTTCGGTAGCGTATACTTAGTGCCTTGCATGTCACACCCACACTCAACTGCCAGGTGTTCTGTCTGAAAGCACGTCTAGTGACAGCCCTGTAAAGCCCCAGAGCATCCTAGGGCGTAGCAAAAGGCGTTCAGGGTTTAGGGTTGTCAAGGTTTTCTTTCCGTAGCCCTCGACTAGTGCCCGCCGAGTGGCGTGACAGGCATCGGCTAGGTGGGCAGCAACGAAAACTGTCAGAGACATAACCTGGGAAACACGAAGCCTGGCCACGCTGAACAGTTCTAATAGGGGTGGGGGGCGGGGGGGGGGGAGGGACCCCTAAACCCCAAACCCTAAACCCTACACCCTAAACCCGTAACCCTTAACCCTCAACTGCACAGCAAGGATACCTTTGCCCTGCTCCCGCGACAGTTTGCGCCGATCTACTTCAACACGTGCGGCCTCCTGGGAGTTCATGGGCTTTAGGGTTTACCGGTAGGGAATGAGGGAAGCAGGTACCCTATATAGTCACCTTAAGATGGTTTATACATATATGTATATATGTATGTATGTATATATATATGTATGTGTATATATATGGAAGTATCTAATTGCCGGCCTTCGAGGCGTCTGAGAAGTTTCGGGTATGAGGGAGAGCAAGGTTTGGGGTTTCGGGTTTCGGGTTTAGGTTTTAGGAGTTGGGGTAGGTATCACAATGTGTGTGTGTGTGCCTCCACGCCGGTGGAAGGCACTTCAGTTACCACCATGGATTCAACCTAGTCCTTGGTGTAATATCATGATTGTGAGTGCTCTTGTTGCAGTCCGCAGTTGACAGAGTCATGCAAGTAGATGAGCAACACATGTGCTGCAGGACCCTGTAGCCTACAACCTTCTGCTGTATTCACCAAATCCTTGGGGAAGTGGTTCGCATTGTCGGGTGCTTTCAACGGCTTAGGGCTTCATGTGCCGGCATGGGTTCAGCACGATTTGGGCCTCTGAAGTCAGGAAGCCCAGCACAGCACCGAGCGCAGGATCCAGGGTCTAGGCAGCCTTAATACCCTAAAACCTCGTGCTCACGAACATTGATCCTGAAACACGCCCCTCCCGCCCCAACCGAAGCTTGAGGCGCCAGTATGGTGGCACCGAGTACTGCTGGGTTTCGCCACCCGAAGTGAGGTGTTGGGGCGGGGGCGGGGAGGGGGGGGTTTAGGGTTCAGGGAAGCGCGGTTTGATTTGGCCCCGAGTTGGTCTAAACGGCCTAGCAAGGCAGACAGGTTTGTGGGAAAGGGAGTGTCAAGCGACTGGCAAGCCATTTTCCCTCAACACGGGAGGTCTGACGATTGCCGCCTGGTTGCAGAAAGGTAGCCAGTCATGGCTGTTCGAGCATTCAGTGGGTTACCTGGTAAGCCAATGGTGTCTGATTTGGGAGGTTTAAGGTTTTTTTTTTTTTTTTTTGTGGGGGGGGGGGGTTCTTAACATCTTAGGTCAGTGTTAAAGCTTATGCCTTGGACCTTGCTCTTGCCACACTTGCCCCCAAGCCTGACGTTCGCTTATTAACTCTCAAACTTGGTGCCGGAATCAAGTCTCTGAAGCTTTACAATGCCGAACCTGTTGCAGTCTCCATCACCGCGATGACACAGTCTATCTACAGCATGAGCCGGGCTGTCGGCTAGTCATCTGTTCAGCTTGTCTCCCTGTGTGTCTTATATACTGTCTTGCTTGTTGAAGCTGGTGCCCCGCGGAGTTTGAGTCTTTGAGCAGTGCGTGTCACGGTTCGAGAGCTTGCCAGACTGAAGGGATGTTGTTGGCTCCTTTTCCATTGTTTGGTCCTTGGTGTTGGCGTGTGAGGCTTGTGTGAGGCAGGCCGCTCTGTCGGGGAAACTCGGGGAAGAGGGCTCGCGCCACCTGGACACATGCTGCCTGAAGCCCACAAGCGTTAACCTAAACCCCTAACCCTAAACCCCCCCAAAACCCTATAGGCCTGAAATATCCCCTAAAACCCAAGAACATACTCCGAAATTCAAGAGGCTGTCACCGGCTCAAGTTGCAGCTTGAGAAGCACCAGGCGCCATGGTACGCCATCCCAAAACTTTTTTGGGTTTTTTGGTGGCCTTATAAGGGTGACCAGAGTCTGAACATCGGCCTGATATATAGATCAAGGTGTGGAATTTGTTTTGGGGCATGTAGATTCAAACGCCTGGAGTGGCGATGCTTTGCCTCTCAGCAACCTGGTGATTTTCAGTTCTCTGCTGCATCTGCCTCAGTCCGCTTGGTCCTCCTGAAATCATAATAGCCAAACTGACTGAGTCGCCACCCCCCTCCACCCCCTCCCCCCCTCCCCCCCCCTCCCCCCCCCCCCACCCCCTCCCCCCCCCTCCCCCCCCCCATCCCCCCCCCTCCCCCCCCTCCCCCCCCTCCCCCCCTCCCCCCCCTCCCCCCCTCCCCCCCCCTCCCCCCAACCCCTCTCTGACTGAAGGTTCCCGTGAAGCGCTTTGCCCATTCACTGTTGCCTGGCCTACATGTGTGGATCCCTGAGCCCCCAAACCCCAAAAAAGCAGTTCTTGGCCGCGCCTTTGCGAGTGGGGCATAATGTCAAGAGAACTGCCCTGAGGTGTCTATACTAAGTTCACAATTCTTGCCGCAGCCCCAAGCCCCAAGCCCAAACCCCGAAGCCCTAAGCCCTAAGCCCTAACCCTCTTGGTTGTGCCCATTGGATCTTTGGGAGCACCTCCGAAGCTGAGGGTTACCTCCCGCTACCTCGTGCCTCTCAGTCGGCAGCAAGCAAGACACACAGAAGCCTGTTGCAAAAGGGTTTCCTAAGCAAAAAGCTCTATTCAAGATCAAAATTCTGGAAAGACCCGGAGATTTCGCGGTACCGAGGCGGCCGGAAACCTACACTGAAGCAGATGGCTGACTTCCGGGCCAAACTGCGAGATGAAAAAAGAGGCTTATACATATGGGTGCCTTCGGGCATATAAGGTGATCTTAGTTTACCCAAGTGGTAACCAGTTTCCCTTTTTGGGGTCAAGGCTCCCTTGTAAAGTTACCAACCCCAAAACAGGGTGCCCGTTTTTTAGAATATGGTTACTGGGCTACCAGGTGATCTACTTGGAGGTTCATGGTACTTACTAACCAATTATAACTGTACTTAGAACCCTACTTATAAGACCCCTAAAGGGCCTTATAGGGGTTATCCCAATTATAAGGTTATAAGCCCAGTTATAAGTGGTAAGTAAGTACCATGAACCTCCAAGTAGGGCTTAGGTTCCTAGCTTCGCCTTCGGTCTCCGATGCTATGGCCCGTCTATATGGTAAGTTCACGCACGAATATAATAGAAAAGCCGCACTCGAATTATTATTGCACGTTTCGTCCATTAAAAGCCCTTACGATTTAATATTGAGTTTATAAGGTTTTTTTGCGCATGAAATTCATGCATGAAATTGGGGCTTTTCTCTCTCTTCTTGCTTCACCTGCAATAATATAATGCACGCGTCGCTCACTCCTTGTCATTAATATTGTTACCGAAGAGAATAAGAGAGCACATTAATACTAGTATTACAAGGTAACGCGTGAATATTAGTATTAGTGTGTGAACGCATGAACGCAACAACTGGACCATGAGGTAGAAACTGCCGCTGGACGCTATTTGCCCAGGTCACGGATCGCTTCTAAGGGTGAACTCTACTTTCCATGGAATCTTCTCCTTCACTGCGTTCTTTCTCTCATTTCGTTCACTCTTTTTTCTTCGTTCTCTCATTCGTTCAGTCACGTCGTACCGAAGGGATTAGATACTTGTAGGAGAGGGTTTACTTGGTACCCCCTAAATGACCCTTTGACGCAGTATAGAAAGTACCTAATTCCCAAACTCCCCGACTAAGAACTAGAACGGGTACGAAGGGCAAGAAGCTCAAAAACCCAAGCCGCAACCTTAAGAATCTATATCCCCGTGATTCTCCCCCAACCTTACTGACAGGGAACATTGAGGATTCCGTATGTCCCGAAAACCTCGAAACCACGCAAAGATCTCTGCAGCCTGATCCGGCCCAGGCTGAAGAACCCTGCATTTGCTATCATCGGCACATGGCACAGAAACTTAGAAAGTGGGAGGCAGAAAAGGCTCTAACCTTAGTGTGGCCAGAATCCCAGCCGCCAACGAATACCATGCTCGTCATGCTACAACTGGAAGATCATTGGCACCCCACGCCCGCAACCCATGCAAAGTCCCCATCCTTGCACCTCATGCTTCCAAAATCCCCCGCGTTTCCGAATAGATCGGACTCTCAAGCCAGGAACACTGAAACTCTCAAGCCCTAAGTCCCAAACCCAATAACCCCTAAAGCTTAAAGCCCTAAACCCCCCCAAACCCTACAACCCCAAAAGCCCTAAACCCTATAACCCCTAAAGCCCCAAACTCTAAACCCTAAGCCCTATAAACCATCCCTAAACCCTAAACCCTAAACCCTAAACCCTAAACCCTAAACCCTAAACCCTAAACCCTAACAGCCACCATGGCCGCACGGCGCCTCGAGGGTCAGGGAGGCGGCAGTGCCAAGCGCCGGCGCAGTGAGGGCCTCCTGACTCTTGGCCGAGATGTGTGTATAGGGTTTAGGGTTTAGGGTTTAGGGTTTAGGGTTTAGGGTTTAGGGTTTAGGGTTTAGGGTTTAGGGGCTTCCGATTAGGGCGTGGTGTTGAGCATGCTCCCCCTCCTTCCTGGCAGTACTCAAAGCCCGGGTTCAAAAGGGGGTTTCTGAATACAGAGGTACCCTTTTGGGGGGGTTCCTTTAAGGGAATTCTACTCTTTTTTGTTGTGGGCGAGAGGGGGGGGGGGGGGGGAAAGGGGACCCCTATTTGGCCTATATCTAGGGTTCCGAGTATGGGCCATATAACCCTTGTATAGCCCTTAATATGTACACACACACCCACACACTCTCTCTCTATATGTGGAATATATATATATATATATATATCTATATACATATACATATATATATATATATATATCTATATACATATACATATATGTGGAAATATATCTATATCTATAGAGAGAGAGAGAGAGAGGCCCATGCTTCCGATCCAAGGGTCAGGGATTATATTAAGGGCCCCTGGATCCGTAAAAAACCCCAAAGAGCCCATACTTCTGAACCCTTTTTGAGAAGGTAGGCGACCATATGAAGGGACCAGGTAACTTCCCTTAGATTTATACAGATTGTGGAGTTGGATGGAAGTGAGAATTGGAGCGTCTTCCCAAATAAGTTTCCCGAACACCTGCGAACCAGAGTTGATGGTCGTGCGGTGAGCATGAGCTTCGAAGTTGGCACCTTGGGGATCGGTTTAGGGTTTAGGGTTTAGGGTTTAGGGTTTCCTTTGTCTCTGGTCTCAAGTGGCTTGCCTGACTTGTCGGAGAGTGAGGCCCCAAAACCTCCACCAGTACAGCGCTTCTTAAGGTTACCACGGTGCGGGTACATAGGAACGAAGAATATGGTTTCTTATTATTCTGGAAACTTAATTCTAAAGTTCCTGAACAACCCTAAGCCTAAAACACCAACCCTATACCCTAAAGCCAGCAAGCTTTGTTGAAATAACCCTAATGTGGTATCCTGATTAGTGTGGGGCCCCATTTGCACACACAATGCCCGCACGATAGGTCTCGAAGGGAATCATATGCTTTGACGCAAGCAGCACGGCCTAAATAAGGCGAGGGTTGGGGCTTTGAAGCGGTTTGGATGGATTCACCCCCCCCCCCCCCCCCCCCCCCCCCAAACTAAATCCACCCCCGCAATAGTGTCACCAAAAAAAGGGACCCCCCCAAACTAATTTTCGGCCCCGGGCCCCCCCCACCGGCTCCTCTTCATTTCCTCTTCGCTCCTCTTCCCTCTCCTCTTCCTCTCCTTCTCCTCTTAGGTAATTAAGCTCAGGTAAGCTCAGATGAGCTCAGCTCAGGTAAGCTCAGGAAAGCTCAGGTAAGCTCAGTAATTAAAGCTAAAGGTAAGAGCTCAGGTTGGGGATGACAGCTCAGAACTCCGACTTGAAGCTGCTCTTCTTTTGCTCTTTTCTTTCATCATCTTGTTCTCTTTTTTTCTCTCTTCCGAAACCCATGCCCGAAAAACTTTACTTTATTGTGGGGGGGCAATCGAATTTTTGTCTCCTGAATAATTTTTGGAAAACTTTTCATTATTGGAGGGGTCCAGACTAATCAGGATACGACATTAAACCCTAAACCCTAAACCCTAAGCCCTAAGCCCCAAGCCCCAAGCCCCAAGCCCCAAGCCCCAAGCCCCAAGCCCCAAGCCCCAAGCCCAGCAAGCTGAGGTCGGACGGCCTCACGTGCAGCGAAGTTGCAGCTGCCCTTAGCCGCCGCGTCTCTCCGGAGGACACGATTTTGGGAGTTCGGGTCTTGGGAGGTTTAGATTTAGGGGGTTTAGGGTTTAGGGTTTAGGGTTTAGGGTTTAGGGTTTAGGGTTTAGGGTTTAGGGGGTTTAGAAGTTTAGTGGGTTGAAGGGGGTTTAGGGGGTGTGGAGCTTGTAAGGGTGATGTAGGTTTAGAGATTTGGGTTTTGTTTTTAGCATATGAGAGTGTGGGCTTTCAGCTGCATGTAGAGATTTGGGCTTTGTGCTTAAGGCTTTCTTGGGAGGGTTTTGCGGTTCAGGTTGCGGTTACAGTAGCGGTGTGTAGAGGATTGGGCCGAGGGCTGTGGGCTCTTGAGATTCACATGCGGACTCCCTGCGTCGGGGCTGAGTTCCAAAACAACCCTAAAGCCCGAAACTTCCGATACCCGAAAACCCTAACCTGAAGACTCTGAGTTTGGAATTTCAGGCGTTAAGGGTTTAGGGTTGAGGGCGTTGGCTCCCGCTGATGCTCTGAGTCTGGGCTCAAAAGGGTTGAGGGCGACAGGCAGGAGTTGCCCGAAGGAAAAAAGTGAGGGTTGAGAGTTTTCATGGTGAGGAGTGTCCATGCTGACAAAAGTCCCTGGTTTTGGGATATATAGGGCATAGGAATTTAGCTTATATGCAAGGAAGTGTTTCAGTTCTTGGGCTCGATGCCAAACAGCTTTTGGGAGGTATGCGTCACGGTGGGGTCGGCTCACCCGATGTGATAGTTGAGGGTGAGGGATTGGCTAACATGTCGAATCAAGCTAGCGGCTGCCCTACGCCCTACACCCGAAACCCAACACATGGACATAGAGCATCTAGACCCATGCTTTGGGCCGTCAGCTTTCTGATTCTGTTTTAGTCTCCAGGTACCCAAGACATGAACTGCGATTAGGGGCCTCATGTAGGGGCCTGATTATTTAGAATAGGGTGTTGGGGGTGAACATCGCATAATTATATAGGCACCATAGGGAAGTACTTTTAGTAATGTTTGCCGACTCCTAAATTCGGTGACATGTCGAGCTAGGCAGCTTTTGGGAGACGCTTGCCAGGATGCAGAGCTGCTCCGTTGTTTGCGCGACTGTGCCAGGGCTGCTTATGGTAGTGTTGTGTGAACACGGTTTAGGGTTTAGGGTTTAGGGTTTAGGGTTTAGGGTTTAGGGTGAGACTTCACTGCTTTGCCCGGGGGGTTAAAGCTTGAGGAGTCCTAGAAAGTAAGTCGGCGCGTCGATAGCGACACCCCCAACTGGCCCGACTGGGGTTTTCTTTTGTCTGTGTGTTTTAAATTTCAGAATTAAAACCTTCAAGCCTAAACCCTCAACCCTGCACCCTAAACCCTAGCCCTAAACCCTAAACCGCAAACCCCAGACGCTAACCTGCCTTGTGTGTGGGGGTGTGGGGGTGGGAGGAGGCGGAGTTGGCTCTGAGGCGCTGACCCTGAGGAGGGCGAGGCAAAGCGCTTGGTGCAGCAGTTGGAGGCAGGGGTTTTGAGGGTTTGGGGTTCGGGGGCGTAAGGTTTAGGGTTTAGGGATTTAGGGGTTGAGGGTTCGGGGTTCAGGGTTTGGTTTTCAGGGTTTAGGGGTTGAGAGAAGAGCCTCGGGGTCTGCAGTGCGGGTGGCGCAAAAAAGCAAACACAAACTGAACCCAGGAGTTCAAAAACCCCTAAACCTCCTAAGCCCAAACGTCGAGACAGATCCCTGCAGGGGGTTCAACCTAGCATGTAGAGAGCGCTTGAGGCCCTAAAAGCCCTTGACAAGCCCTAAACGCCTCATGCCCTTGCACCAGGCTCGTGAACCTTAAACCCTAAACCCTATAAACCCCTAAACCCCTAAACCCCTAAACCCCTAAACCCTAAACCCTAAATCCTAAACCCTAAACCCTAAACCCTAAACCATCCTAAACCCTAAACCATCCTAAGCCCTAAACCCTAAAACCCCTAAACCTTAAACCCCTAAGCCCTAAATAAACCAGGCTCGCCATGGCTCCGGCTTCTGGAAAGCCGACATGTTTCACTGCTCTCACCCCGAGCCTGGGCAAGAATGCGGGGTCTAGGGCAAGGGTTTAGGGATTTGGGGGTTTAGGGTGTAGGGTGTAGGGTTTAGGGTTTAGGGTTTAGGGCTAGGGTTTAGGGTTTGGGGGTTCGGGGGTTTGGGGGTTTGCAGGGTTTAGGGGTTTGCGGGGTTTAGGGGTTTGGGGGGGTTTAGGGGTAGAGGGTCTAACCCCGCTGGCTGCAAGAGATTTGGACGCAAAAGAGATGTAGGGCTCAGGGTTTAGGGTTTAGCGCTTTTGTCCAGATGGTTGAGGGTTTGGGGTTTATAGGGTTTATTGTGGGATCAGGCTTAACGATTTTAGGTTCTAGGGTTGTTCAGCTTCATGGTGTTGGGCTTAGGGATGAAGTGCTGAGTCTGAGAGCGTAGGTGGGAGCATTCTGAGAGCAGTCACGGGCATTGGCGAGCACAGTTCACACAGCGGTTTCGGCTAAGAAGCAACAACAGGACCACCACCACTGAGATAAAGTAGCAAACCCTTATATACCCCAACCCCCACATCGCGAACGCTCGACGGCGTCTCCTCAGGGTCACGGGTGCAAGGCCCTAAACCCTAAACCCTAACCCTAAACCCTAGCCCTAAACCCTAAACCCTAAACCCTAAACCCTAAACCCTAAACCCTAATTAAACCCTAAACCCTAAACCCTAGACCCTAGCCCTAAACCCTAAACCCTAAACTCGTGTGCCCGAAGTTGAGGTTCCCGTAGGCACAAGCCCGAGGCCCCTGAACCTCAAGCAAACAATCGCCAGCGGAATCACGGATGGAAGTTGGGATGTTCCCCCTTATGCTGATAGTCCTTAATAGGGATTATCCCTAAACCCTAAACCCTAACCCCCCCCCCCTATTTATAATCCCCAGCAAGGACTGTTTATGGAAATGCCATGAGCCTGTCCTCCTCAAGTGAGGAAGCCGAACTCCCAGGGCATGCCTGGGTTTTGGGATTTAGGGTTCAGGGTTCAGGGTTCCGGGTTTAGGGATACGGGTTTAGGGTTTACGGTTTAGGGTTTAGGGCTTAGGGTTTAGGCGCGCATTCTGGAGTTTGTACTTGCCTGTTTCCCGTCGCTCGTCGACTCTTCTAAGAGGAGGCCTGACATCCTGGCAGCCAGGGGTCCAGTTGCACAAAAAGGGTTTACAGTATGGTACCCCTAAACCCTAAGCCCTAGACCCCGCATAGCACGAGACCAAACTATGACGCCCTCGGCTCTCTACACACACTCTCTACATGATTCACCCACCTCCCCCCCCCACCCCCCACCTCCACCCCACCCCCCATCTGCTGAGGAGTTTTCCGCGCGCCTCCAAAGCTGGGGCCGCGACTTTGCTCTGAGCATGGTCTCCTGACTGCGATTGCCATCCATGAAGCCAAACCCCTGGAACCTGATATATATATATATAGGGGTTGGAATTGCTACTGATATTCCCTTATGGTGCCTTTATAATCATACTAATAAAGTAGCCTCCGGAGGAACCCGAAGACCTAAACTGCTAGGGCTTGGGGTTTAGGGTTTAGGGTCTAGGGTTTAGGGTTCAAAAAGGGTTCGGGGCATATCAGGCATGTCTTTGGCGGATTGCAACAAATGCTTTTGGCTTCGAAAAAGGGGCTGAAGTGCGTGCTTCACCACGTTGCAGATTGCAACATGTTGCAAGCTGCAACCTGCTGGCGCCGCCCTCCGTCCATGCATCGAAAAAGGTTTAAGGTTTAGGGTTTAGGGTTTAGGGTTTATAGGGTTTTTCACCATCATGATTGGGGGTTCAGGCCGTGACCTCTTAGAGTTTGCTCAGGAGTCCCAGCTTGTCCGAGCCTGGGTTGAAACAAAGACGGGTTTAGGGTTTAGGGGTTAGGGTTTCGGGTTTTTAGGGTTTAGGGTCCAAGCCAAGCTGAGGGCGTTGATTGTAGGGTCGGGAGCCCGCGAACCAAGGTCGGCAAGCCGTGGCCGACGGCAATCTACCGGCAGCTGAAGTTGCAAGTGGCCTACATTGAGGCACCTGTTGGGCTGTTCCCAGGTGCTGCAGTCCTTAATAACTACTGGGATTATAACCGGGGGTACACCCTAAACCCTAAACCCTAAACCCTAAAATTAAGGACTGTTCGTATAAGGGGTAGCATCCCAAGGCACCAGCTTAGTACGACTTTGTGGGAGGAGGCTTCCCTGTCTGCTGTCCAGGTGCTTGAACCCTTCGCCTCTAAGCCGTGCGGCTTCCATGTCTGAGCCACCCTAAACCCTAAACCCTAAACCCTAAACCCTAAACCCTAAACCCTAAACCCTAAACCCTAAACCCTAAACCCTAAACCCTAAACCCTAAACCCTAAACCCTAAACCCTAAACCCTATAACCCTAAACCCTAAACCCTAAACCCTAAACCCTAAACCCTAAACCCTAAACCCTAAACCCTAAACCCGAAGCAGGAGTATTTCAATGCGCGAGCTGAAGCAATTGAAGCTGAGCTGGCGCGCTTGAGACAGCTGGCGACGGAGGAGCCGCCCGCACACGAAGAGCACCTTGGGGACTACTCAGTGAACCCTAAGAAGGGGTGTAGGGTTTAGGGCTTATAGGGCCCAAGTGGACATTAAAAAGGGTTTAGGGTTCCTACACCGAGGTTTAGGGTTTGGGGTTTAGGGTTTGGGGTTTAGGGTTTAGGGTTTAGGGTTTGAGATGAGAGTAGTACAGGGTATATGACCCCCACTGTTAGGATTCATCTCCTTGGCCCCCCGAGGCAGCTGCCTGTCGAAGTGCCGCCCCAGCTGCGCTCTTTTTTCGAGCGCCTCCTCCAGAGCCTGGCCCGGCGTCCAGTAGGGGCTTTGGGGGTAGGGTTTGGGGTTTGGGGTTTGGGGTTTAGGGTTTGGGGTTTAGGGTTTAGGGTTTAGGGTTTAGGGTTTAGGGTTTAGGGTTTAGGGTTTAGGGTTTAGGGTTTAGGGTTTAGGGTTTGTTGTTGTTGCTCGAAGCCTGAGGTCCAGCCTGCGTGATGAAGTCAGAATTGCTTCTTACAGTGTGAGAAATTGAGAGTCCCACAGTGCAGCCTTGCCCACAACGAAGATCCGATTAGGTAAACAGTAGAAACACCAACGCTGGCCTTGGACAAGCTGACTGCGGCCTTCACCGCACTGAGGGTTTAGGGCGACTTAGTCGTTGTCGTGTTTCTTGGCTGCCGTCCCTAAACCCCAAACCCTAAACCCTAAACCCTTAACCCTCAACCCTTAACCCTTAACCCTAAACCCTAAACCCTAAACCCTAAACCCTAACCCTAAACCCTAAAGCCTGTTTGGTGCTGGGCCCTTGGGCTCTGTCCGACTAAGCCCTGAAACCCAGAGCCTACACCCCAAGCAACTCGCCCCCCGAAGCCGTAAACCTAAACAAAAAGAAAACCCTAAACCCTAAAAAACCCAACCCTAAACTCTTTTGCACAGGCTTGTCCCACCCTAAAGCCTACTAAACCCTAAGCCCTAAGCCGAACAAAGCCTTAAGCCAGCAAAAGGAGCCAGAAGGTGAAGGTGGTTGATCTGGCCGGCGGGCCTGGCTGCTGTGCCGCGGGCGCTTGGCGCTTCTTTACGTCGGAGCGCATCTTTCAAGGGCCAGTGAGCACCCTTTTTTTTGGTCTTGCTGGTGAAGGACTCAGGGTGTAGGGTCTAGGGCTTAATCAGGGAATGGCAAGACTTCTTGGGAAAATTGTAGGAGAGTGAAGAAACGACTTCTAAGGGGTATCGGGTTCTATGGCCTGGTTTTGAACCAGGGTGGATGAAAACTGAGAGACTTTCAGGTATGGGCTCATGTGCTGTCGAAGCCACTGTGATGGACCCTGTGGAAGAGTGGCTGGGCTCATCCTTGGCGTTGCTTTCATGTTTCTGCGCTGAGTCGAGGCAGATTCTGACAAAGTGTCCGCAGAATCTGCAGCATCAGCATCATCATCATCACCATCATCACCATCATCATCATCATCACCATTATTCATCATCGGGCGAAATTTGCCGAGTCGACGTTTGCTTTCACCGGCTGCTGGAAAACCGAGGTGGTCATGGTGTCACGAGATGCTGGGGCTGCAGTTCCGCCACTCCGCCAGCTTGTCGGACTCTCTGCTCTGTAGAAGGCTGTTTTTTTATTTACCCTAAACCCTAAACCCTAAACCCTAAACCCTAAACCCTAAACCCTTAGAAGGCTGGCTTTTTTGTTTAACCTTAAACCCCAAACCCTAATAAGTTTAAGGGGGGCCGCTCTGCATGATGACCCTCTGATGAGCCCATTTTTTTGTGCTCCCAAACGCAAGTGCCTGTTCTCTACGATAGGCCTTTAGGGTAACCAGCCATGAAACATCCAAAGGCAGAATGACATGCTTGACTTGCTTTTGGGTTCTGTGCAGCTGTGTGACGGGTTGAGGCAGACATCCGCACCATGCTTGGTCTTTTCGGGTGCTGTACCAGCCCGGAAAGCTACACAGGAACCGTACGTGGGCGGATGAGGGTCTACGGAGTCTACGGTTGTATAACCCTGAAAGCCCACAGATATCTCAGGACATGCTTCTCGAGGACTGCACCTTCACGGCAGACGTCGTCCTGTTAGGCTGGGCCATGCGCCTCAGTGGGAGCATCATTTTGTTTTGTTCACGAGCTTGCCCTAAATTAAGCGGTGGTGTGTACGCTTCTGACATTGTACGCAAAGCCCTGAATCCCAGCCCACCTCAAGATTCTCCATTTGGTGGCCTGCTTGGGTGCCTTGGGGTCTCCCTAAAATGGCGAGGGGTTCCCTGGTCGGTTGCGGGATTCTACGATCTTGGGGGCGCATAAGGGTTCCCGATGTAAGAAATTGCCCATACGGGGCTGCGTTGCAACATGGACACACACACACAGACAAGGGACCATCAGTCCTCGTCCTACTTGGAGGTTCATGGAGAGTTGTCAGTTGTTTGTTCTTGAAATATCTAGTTACTTACAACTACCCATGAACCTCCAAGTTGGGTTTCAGGTAGTAGGGTTTAGGGATTAGGGTTTCGGGCTTAGGGCTTAGGGCTTAGGGTTTAGGATAATTTCGGGTTTAGGGTTTAGGGTTCAAATTAGGGTTTAGGGTATTAATAGGGTTCAGGACTTAGGGTTTAGGGCAAATTCGGGTTCAGGGTCTTAGGGTTTAGGGCAAATTCGGGTTTAGGGTCTTAGGGTTTAGGGTTTAGGGTCCCCGAGCTAACCCAAAGTCAGAAGACGCAAACCGGAGAGTCAGGGAGCCGCGAGTGCGTCTCATAGTTCGTCTCCAAGGCCCCGCACGCCCCCTTCTGTAAGTACGTTTGCCATAAACCCTAAACCCCTAACCCTCAACCCTAGCCCTAAACCTAAACCTTAAACCCTAAACCCTAGCCCTAAACCCTAAACTCCACAAGGAGCTTCGCCTGCAAGAGCTTCTGGGATCGCTTGCACGTTGCCTTTGGCCAGCGGGGGGCCTACCTCCCAGGCTGCAACAGCCAGGCGCCTCGCCTGAGACCCTGAAAAAAAGATGAGGTTTAGGGTTTAGGGTTTAGGGTTTAGGGTTTAGGGTTTAGGGTTTAGGGTTTAGGGTTTAGGGTTTAGGGTTTAGGGTTTAGGGATACCTGAAAAGCCCTATCCAACCCCAGGCCCTAGAAGCAGAAGATCCTGGGAGACTTGGGTGTTTGGGAGTGGGTGTTTCAGAGTTGAGGGTTTCAAGTTTCCGGTTTAGGGTTTAGGGTTTAGGGTTGAGGGTTTCAAGTTTCCAGTTTAGGGTTTAGGGTTAGGGTTTGCTGTGATAGGGCGTAGATGCTGTGAAGGTTAGGTCTCGGGACAAGCTCGAAAGCTTCGTGGGGTGCGAAAAGCAGCATTGGCCCGATTGTGGAGGGCCATCTAACACTTTTCTCCCACCCCACGCCGTCCGATGCGGCAAAGCCACCCAAACCTATTCCTTTTAGGGTTGAGGCCTAAACTCAGACAACAGCCCACTTCTAAAAACTTAGACAGTTTCAGGGAGGGTTGCAGCAAGTTTCAGCTTGGGAGTGAGGGAGGCCTGGCGAGGCAGGGGCCAGGCGGGCAGGCAGGGCCACAGAGCCTGAGGGTCCCTGGTCCCTGGACCCAGGGCCAAGCGAGCCAGGGGGGGCCCAGGAGGGGGCCAGGGGCCAGGGCTGTGGCACAAGGGGGCGGGGGGGGGGGGGGGGTATTTACTTTATGTTGCAGGAGGAGAACGTGTTCCGGTAGCTGCAGGAGGCGGGCAAGCGACCTGGGTCGACTTTCGCCATAGAGGTCGAAGGGCTTAAGTGCTGCCGGCAGCCGAGGCCCTAGGCCCTGAGTTTAGGGTTGAGGGTTTCAAGTTTCCGGTGTGGGGTAATTCAGGCCTCTTCTTGCGGGGCGGTAGTGTCTTAGGGGAGGGGTATAAGGGTTTTTGAATGGTTTTGAATTCGAAGGGATGCCGGGAAGCCATAGTTGTGGCATGTATTCGTATGACGTTCTCGGGCTCGCGTACCAGGCGCCCAGCCCCAAACCCTGAACCGGAAACACCCTTCCCCACGGGAACGCACCCCGACCCAGGCGCTGATCATTGTAATGGACCGGGGCCTGGACCAGCTCCGCTTCAAGGACCGCCGTCGCGCCGAACTCTTTAACAAACTGTTGCTTAGTACACGTTCGAATGGAGAACTGCTTCTGATGTTAAGAACTGTAATCTCCATAGTGGTAGCATGTAATAGCATAATGGCGCGTTTAGAGTTAAAGGTTAGGGGGTCAGTCTAAGGTTCTTTCCGTGCAAGTAGGTCAAGGGATGAAGGCTCGTATCCCTAAGGTTGTACCCCTCAAGGTTCCCCTTAATATGTTCCTAATATGGCCCTTATACCACCTTAAGTATCTTTAGAAGGGCCCCCAAAACCCACGGGTACAACCTTAGGGGTCCAAGGTACAACCCCTAGAATCGAGTTTTGCAGGGTTTCCAGGACAAGCGCGAGAGGGAGCTCCAGAAGCCTGGGGTCCTCTGGAAGGACTACGGGGCCAACGTGTGCTACTTGCCTGTTCTGCTCATTGTACTTCACTCCCATGCTTAGGACTTTAAGACTTACGCGGTGCTTTCCCTAGAAGCTGCTGAGACAAACATGAGAAGAGCACTTCGGAGCGTTAAGATCGTGCCCGGCACTTTTGGCCCTTCTCGAAAGGTTCTTGTGGCCTTCAGGCCAACACCCTAACCCTTTAACTCTTGAGCTGTTGGTGGTGTGGGCTCTTCATCTAAGCTCGGGAGTGCTGAGCTCTGGCTCAGGGGATTCAGCACTTTGGGAATCATCGCTTGAGGACGCCTCTTCTTTGCAACCCTGTCCGAAGCAGAAGCCCTAAACCGTATAAACCCAAACGTGAGCACACTAGCGTGGAGCCTGCCGTTGCAGAGAGTGCTTGCAGAAAGCCTAAACCTCAAAACCTAAACCCTAAACCCTAAACCCTAAACCCTAAACCCTAAACCCTAAACCCCCTAAACCCCCTAAACCCCTAAACCCTAAACCCCAACATGAGCAGCTAAGGCTTCTCATGGATGTTGGGAAGCCCATCATCCCCGGCAAGCTCCGAGTGAAACCCAAGTCCGAACACTTAGGGTTTAGGGTTTAGGGTTTAGGGTTTAGGGTTTAGGGTTTAGGGTTTAGGGTTTAGGGTTTAGGGTGCCGAGTAGCTGAGGCTGCGTTCGCTTTCTAGTCCCTGGGAGGGCAGGGTTTAGGGTTGAAAGGGCTTAATGGGGTTTACAGGGTTCATAGGGTTTAGAGCTTAGGGTTTAGGGTCTAGGTGTTTGGGTATGACTGAGGGGTTCCAAGCCTTCAAAAGCCACAGGGCGGAGGAGGTGTGGAGCGCGACGCTCTAGCTGGAGGAAAAGATGCCAACCCATCTGGGGACGGGAGGGGGGGGGGGGGGGGGGAGTGGTTTAGGGTTTAGGGTTGAGGGCCCTTTTTGTTTCATCGAAGGCGGTAGTTTCCCCCTGGTCGGGTGCATTTGAAGTCAATGTCGAACCTTTCTTCTGCGGGCAGCTGGGAAGTGTGCGCTTGCTGCGCGTTTGTTTTAGCGTTTAGGGTTCAGGGTTTAGGGTTCAGGGTTTAGGGTTCAGGGTTTAGGGTTTAGGGTTTCCTGAGTTCTGCAACGAAGAAGCGGATTGAATGAGGTTTCGGATTGGGGCTGACTAGTGCCAGGCCGCCCTTGGCAACAGACCGTGGCTAGAGGGTTTAGGAGTTGAGGGCCATGTTCGCATCCTTATTCTCAGTGTGGGGTGCTAGGGTTGAAGTTTTAGGTCTCGGGGAAATGCATCCCCGAACACAACAGCCCGAAAACCTCAACTATGAACCCTAAATCCCGACTCCCGCAAGCCCAACGCGCACGAGGGTTGAATAAGTGTTGAGCGGCATCACCATAACAATCACCCCAGGCGCTTGAAACCCTAAGCCTCAAAACCGTACGTATAGGTCTCCCCAGCATAAAGCCCCAAACGCCAAACCCAAAAACACAAACCCTAAAGCTTGGGATGTTCCCCCTTATACTAACAGTCTCAAGTAGGGATGATAGTACCCCCCCCCCCCCATTGTAATCCCTATTAAGATCCCAGCCTAAATCCCAAACCACAAACACACCCCGAAGCTCCCAGAAACCTTGAGAGGTTTCATGGGTACTTATAAGAAGGGGTTAGGAAGTGCCCTACATAGGGTTATAACCATATCTACCTTACACCCATGAACCTTGAAGAGGCCCAATAGGAACGCAACCCCTCCATCAAACTATGCCCTTTAATCACACCCAAAGCAAGGTTCAGGGTTTAGGGTTTAGGGTTTAGGGTTTCGGGTTAGAGTTTGTACGACAGCCGCCAAAAGCGCTTTCTCCATCTCACCACCTTGGCTCTCGACCACTCCCAGACGGCTCGTGGTGGAGTTTAGTGCCAGCCACTTGGGCTGTCAAGGAACCGGGGGGGTTCAGGACCCTAAACCCTAAACCCTAAACCCTAAACCCTGGGTTTGGGCAACGTCAAAGAGCTGCGGATTCATGGTCCTTCAAGATGCGTTGCAGAAGCAACTTGCCCCCCTGTCTCTCTCTCTCTCTCACTCTCTCTCCCTCCTCCCCCCCCCCTCCTTCCCCTGGTCTAGGCTTTGGTTTGAAGTGCCAAGTGCATAAACCATTTTGTAGCTTGCAGTGTAAAGTAGGGATCCAGCGTGCGGCGTGTCCTGGGGCAGTCAAACACCATGTCCCTCAAGCCCAAAGGCCTGAGCACCAACCCTAAACCCTAAACTTGGGATGTTCCCCCTTGTACTCACAGTCCTTAAAAGGGATTATAATAGGGGGGGTACTATAATCCCTATTAAGGACTGTTAGTAGAAGGGGGAACATCCCAACCCTAAACCCTCAGCAAAGTCCGAGATGCTCAGGCACAAGTCTGGGCAGCTGTACGATGCAGAATCAGAAGGGCGTGTGTTTGCCGCTGCCCACCTCCTTCTTCCAGCTCTGCATCTGGGCCGGGAGTTCTCCTGAGTCTTTTAAAGGGGTTCCCTAAACCCGAAACCCTAAATCCTAAACCCTATATATACCCTAAACCTTGATCGGAGTTGAGGCATGTTCGAGTTGGTGGGAAGTGGGGTTTACACAAACAGGCCTCCATTTCAGATCGAAGAATAAATGTCTCCACACGCTACCTTGCCGGGATGGTTCAGAGCCCTATCCCTAAACCTATAGTGTCCCCGGACGGTGCAAGAATGAGGCCTAAATGGCAGCCAAGCCTTCGCCCCTGGCTTGTAGTTCAGGGTGCCAAATGGGCCCATATCGCAGATCAATCAACACCGTCTCCCCAAACCCCAAACCCCAAACCCCAAACCCCAAACCCCAAACTCCAAACCCCAAACCCCAAACCCCAAACCCCAAACCCCAAACCCCAAACCCAAACCCTACACCCTAACCCTAAACCCCAAACCCTAAATCCGAAACCCTAAACCCAACGCTGTTAACCTTGAGGCAGCCCGGTCGAGCAGAAGATGGATCCCCTCCGTGTGAGCCGTGAGCAGGTGGTGTCACCTGCACAGCCTTACGCAACGGCCCCTTGGCTTCGGTTCAGGGTTTAGGGTTTAGGGTTTAGGGTTTAGGGTTTAGGGTTCAGGGTTTGAAGTTTGCAGGGGATGGGGTTTGGGGCGAGGGAGGGGGAGCGGCGGGTGGGGAAGGGGGGGTAGGGTCTAGGATTTGCACAAGGGGCTCGGCCTAAACACTACCGCACTCATACACCTGGCAAGAATGAATCAACGAAAGGGTAGGGGTTCCAGAGGCCTCATGGGCTTCGACCCTAAGCCCTAAACCCTAAACCAAGGCGAGGGGCACCCTGCAAATCCCTACGCTGCGCTCGCCGGTGATGGGCGCCACCAAGGCCGGTCATCTGGACCCGGCTGCAGGAAATGGGGGGAGGGGTTTGGGGTTTCGAAGAAAAAGGTATAGGGCCAGGGTTTAGTTCTGAAAATTGGGGGTCCCTTGTAGGGCAGGGCAAAAAGACGCAAAAAGGGACCTTATAGTTACTACCCTCATGCCTCGAACCTGGACTTAAAGTTCCGGCCTTCCCAAAAGGCCCTACAGGGCCTTACACTTCGAAGCACAAAAGCACGTGGGCTTTGCCTTTCGGACCCAAAAACCAGGAAAAAGTGCCCGGACCTTGAGATTAACGAAGGCAAAGCCCTGCATCACACACACACACACACTGTGCACCCTAAGCAGACTTGGTGGCTTCGGAAGACCGTGGTCAGCTATAGCCTAAACTCGAAACACTAAACACTATAAGGCCAAGGCATAAGTGCGGATATTGTAGGCTGCCAGCCAAGACCCGGCGATTTGGGGGTTTCCAAACATAGGGGTACCCTCTTTTGGGGGTCCCTTTCATGGGATTCTATTCTATTTGGGGTCTAAAAGGGGTGACCCTATTTTCGGAGATGCTTAGGGTTTGAAGAATGTTAGCACAGAATTGGCCCTGCTTCAAACATTCACACATTCAGCTTGTTGGAATGAATTCTCCTTTTTTGGTCCCTCCCGAATGTCACCAAGCCGGCTGGGACGTGAGTTCGTGGCTCCCGATGAACCTTGGCACTTCTGGGTTTAGGGTTTAGGTTTCAGGGTTTCGACGTCATAGCCCGGATGCCAAAGGGGTTTAGGGTTCACGGTTCAGGGTTCAGGACTGGGAGCTCGGATCTGGGTATTCTCAAGTCTAGTTGCAAGAAGTTTGGGGCATCGAGGCTCATGGTTGATTCCCTCCAGGTTGTAAGGGTTGCAGATCATGGAACCACAAGTTTTTGCGGTCTGGTGGGCGGAGAACTGCTGCTCTTTGGGATTGATGACAGTTTTGGCCTAGGTGCCTTCTTTCTTCTTGAACCCCTACCAGCCCCAACAACTCGATGCAAGGTTGCTTGGGGTCCGAGGCGAGAATGGCCCGAACGGGGGAGGGGTGGGGTTCTGAGTGTGAGTGCTTTCTTGAGTTGCCAAGCCAGGCGCCTCCAATCATGGTGCTCTACGAAGCGCTGCGCTTTGGCTGCACCCGGGGGTCCCTGATATTCTCCAGGGCCCAGGGGTTCCCTTCATACTGACTCATACTCCTAACATGGGCCCTCACCCTTTGAAACGGTACTCTTCAACTCAAGGGCGCAACATGCATCGAAACTCAGCATGCACGTGGAGTTGTGGCCCATGCCCCAAACCTGCTCCCACAATTAGGAGAGCAGGCCCTGCTTCATGGTCCATGGGTCCATGGGGTACTTCGCAGTAGGGCTATAAGAAGGGCAACTGTAGTATTGATTTCCTTCCAAGTGCAAAGAACAAAGGGCCCCGTGAACCTTCAGGCGTTGTGGGGTCATCAAAACCCGAACGTTTTTTCGGGTTTAGTGACCTAGTGTGAGAGAGAGAGAGAGAGTGACCCTACGACGCTTGAAGGTGCATATGGCACAAGTACAGTTGTTTGCACGGATAAAAAGGAAAGCTCCTTGCTCTTGCATACCAGTGCTGTAAGAACAAATTCGCTATCCAAGGGAAATTTGAAGGAAGGTTTGGATTCCGATGCGATTTCTTATACAAAGTTGTCTCATCGAATGGCGTTGCAGCCTGTTGGTCCGATGGAGCTGTCTTCAAGCACCCGCCCGTCACGCAGAGAGAGAGAGAGAGACACACACACACACACACACACACCAAAGAGGCGCCTCGTTTGTCCGTGCATGGTTCGCGTGCGTACTAACTTGTCATGTCACACTAGTGCGACATCAGACAGGAGAGCCCACGGCTCGTGCTGGGTTTTGTAGAAAGCGTTCCTTGGCACAGGCAGACAGTGACCAGCCCGCTTGCGGAGGCGTAAGTTGCACTCAAAGCCGTTTCGTGTGGGGAGTTGCTTGAGTTAGGGTGCGTTTCTGGGTTACCTATTCTAAGGTCAATCTGCCAGATTTAGGCTTGAGAGGCGCTGTTCTTGTATTGCGCAACGCATTCGAAGATTCTGAGGAACCTGCAAAACGACGTGGGCTCTCAAAGAGTTCACACCTAAACCCAAAACCCGACCTCAAACCCTAACCCTAAACCCTAAACCCCAAACCTAAAACCCTTTGCCAGGCGTCCCCATCCTGTCCGCCCACGTCGAAGCAACCAGCTTTCGGCACGCAGTGCCTTTGCTCCCAGGCCAGGGGTTTAGGGTTTAAGGTTTAAGGATTTAAGGGTTTAGGGTTATAGAGGGTTTCGGGTTTAGGGTTTAGGGTTATAGAGGGTTTCGGGTTTAGGGTTTAGGGTGCGGCCGCGTGCTTGAGGCTTCAGAAAAAGGGTCCAGAATGTAGGATTTCTTGTCAGCGTTGGGCCCCTCAAACACCTTTGTCCAGGGTTTGCGTGGCTTGTGGCGTAGTTGCATCAAACTCCGTTGACCAAACTCGAGAACATCGAAGAGCTGGAAAGCTATGATTCCGGCAGTATGCTGCTTAGGGTTTATAGGGTTTAGGGTTTTAGGTTTACAGGAAACCCAGTATTCGAAAAGGTTTACAGGAGCAGTTGGTGTTGTCAAGGCTTCTCACCTGCAGTCAAAGACAACGTGCGATGTAGGCTTCAACGGTGATGTCCCAAACCCAAAGGGTCAATCAACAGTCATAGTTTTGGGTTCTAGACAGGTGACCCTTCGAGAAGGAAGGAATCAGGTATCAATGTAACCGTCCTTTTGGCCCCGTAAGCCCTTCAAGCCCGTTGAAGCCAGCAGACCGACAGTATACCCTAAAACCCTCGGAGCCCTACAGGCCTAAACCCGGAACCCCAAACCCGGAAAATGCTCGTCCTTTCATTCCCTGCGAAGCAACAGTAAGGCAGATTCCGGGGTTCCTGGATTCGAGGGCTCTAGCAGGCCCTTGTCCGGTTTTGGCTTATGTGAGTTTATGGTTTCGGGCTTACCGCTGAGGACGGTTTAGGATGGTTACGGGCTTAGGGCTTGCACTGAATCCAGCTGAAGCCCATTAGGCCGTGTGCAAGCGTGAGAGTCCAAAGCCCCAAACCCCAAAATGGTAGACCTTCTAAACCCCAACGCATAAACCCATAAACCTCTATGCACCCTCATAAACCCCTATAAACCCTCAGAAGCCCCGATTCTGAGTCGCCATAGACCTCTATTCGTCCCCATAAGCCCCGATTATGAGTCGCCATAGACCCCTATTCGCCCCTACCCCCTATAAACCCTCATAAACCCTTCTCAACACCTAAAACTCTAAAGAAATCCAAAAAACCCTTAACATCCTTGAAAACCCTTAAACAACCCCCCCCCCCCCACCCCCAATAATAATCTTAATGAATAAAAACAAGAAACAAACGAAATAAGCAAATAAATGCACAAACTAATCTGAATAAAATGACCAAAACCTTCACAAACCTTAAGCACCCCCCAAAAAGCCCTATATGAGCCTTGTCCCCAGGCCAGCGCGGGCTCCGCCTCCGACCTAGCGCTGCCGGCAGCGGCGCGGCGGGCGCAGAGCTTTGGAGTTGCTTCGCACGCAGTTGAGGGGGGCTTAGGGTTTAGGGTTTAGGGTTTAGGGTTTCGGATGGTGAGGGTGTAGGGCTTTAGGATGTTCAGGGCGTTTCGGTGGACTATGGAGGATGACTAGGTGTTCGGTCTTGAGGATCATGGGGGACCTCGGCCTGCAGTTTCTCGGCTATAGGCGTTCTAGGGGACACTCAGTCTGCTTGGAAATCACATGGCGGCCCGTCAAGCAGGGCTCGTCTTCCCTGTGTTCCTTGCGAACCTTGCTGGGTTCCTGGCAACGGAACATGGCTGTGCGGCCAATGACCCTGAGGACGCAGACACAGCTTGGCTGCAGACGGCCCAGAGCTCGAGTCATGCTGCCCAGCTTTCGCAGAGAGAGTGCGATAAGGATGATCTCGCCTGCGAAGCCCGGCAGTTAGCTTGCAACCTGACGGGCATGATTGAGTGCTGACTGGCCATCAGCGTACAACAGGCTGACTGCATCTTTAGCACAGCTGAGGACTGTATGCGAAGGGGGCCACCTAAACTTGTACGAAGATGCTGTGCCGCGGCGCCTGACCAGGACACGTGCAGCGGCTAGAAACTCCTCTGGCACGAGCTCAGTCTCGTTGGACTGCCCCGCGGCGTTGAGTTGCGTTCCGGACGTCATCGCCTATGAGGGTAAGAATCCCGGTGCTGAAATTGGCATGACGACGGCGAAGGTCGCAGCAACCGTTGCCGTCGAAACGTTGAAGGAAATCCTGAGCGCGCGACGCTCAGCAATGCCAGAGAAAGCGCTGTCCATCGTTTGTGTGAGTTTCCAAAGCCCCATGTTCAACCATTGAACCATATAGAGCCTTAACCTTGCGCAACTTGTGACAGTGTTGTTGGATGGGGCTGGCCCAGGTAAGATCATTGGTCGAGCGGGCGGCACGGCATTTGCGTTCATCGGTGGGTTCCTTGATGCACTCTTCCCAAGCGCCGGTGGCCTACCTGAGAATCCGTGCACTTATGCGACTGATGGGGCAAGTGCGTCTGAGAGCAGGTGCATGGGTGTAGGTGGACTGTCAGGGGCATGAACAGTATCAACATTTTGAATCAGCCGAACCTGACGGAACAGGTCGCATGAACGCCAGAATTGAAACAATGGATCTCCGTAGTTAAGCGGCAACTCCATGTTTTTTGGATGATGCGGCTTTCCATTTTTCTTCGGCTGCAAAGAAAGCTTTGCTTGACACAGGTGAAGCCCTTTGTGCAGCAGTTTGTGAATGCCAAGCTGGACGAAACCTTCGAGGAACTTTGGAAGTCTACTATCGAAGGTTACCAGACGAGATTGTGGGCCATGAATGCTACAGCATACAGAAGCTCGGAGCACTTCGAGAATGGAACTATCAAGCACATGCCAAACAAGACGCGGCAGCGGATGTTCGATGAACTGAAGCAGGTACATGATGCCATGCTGGGTGACGTCAGATTCTTTTTGACGGACCATGCTATCAAAACCACTGCCAGGTCATACCTCTGCCAGTTCGCATCTCTGCATATCAGCGTTATGACAAATCTTCTAGGGTCGTCAGACTACCAGACCCTGGGCGACAGATACGTCTTCCAGACCTTTTCAATGTGCCCTTGATCTTCAGAGGCAATTTTATTGTCTTTGTTTAGGGGTTAGGTTTTAGGGTTTAGGGTTTAGGGTTCCTGCATGCCCCCTCGAAGAATCGTACCGAGGTGCTATGCCAAGTACGTCTACAAGCGCGCGACTGAGGCATTTAAATCGAGGATGGCGACATTCATGCACTCTTTCGATGGCAGTATGAAGTATTGCCCCATGGTAGGGGTGTACAATGTCTACTGCCTTAAGGGCCATGAGACGTACAAGGATGAATGGCCAGATTGCAACTGGGAGTTCAATGGGCATCTTGGACTGAGCCTGCGGTTTAGGGTTTAGGGTTTAGGGTTTAAATAGGGTTTAGGGTTTGGGCTTTAGCCAGTCTTTCTGCTGATGTTCAACGATGCGAAACCCTTGAGAGTGCCGTAGATCCCTACGCCTCCAAACCCTCAGCCCTTCTAAGCCCTAAACCCCAAACCCTAAACCCCAAACCCTAAACCCTAAACGCTAAACCCAAAGCGACCCCTAGGGGTGAACTTGATTGTGGCTATCCATGCTGCAGAGTGCCAAATCTTGCGGACATCCCTAAACCCTAAACCCTAAACCCTAAACCCTAAACCCTAAACCCTAAACCCTAAACCCTAAACCCTAAACCCTAAACCCTAAACCCTAAACGGCGTCCTTGGCTTCTTTCGAGGCGCACCGTCACGCGGTGGAGAATCTGGGTCAGACCTGGGGATGTCTTTAGAGTTTAGGGTTTAGGGGTTTAGGGTTTAGGGTTTAGGGTTTAGGGTTTAGGGGGCCTTGGTTTTAGCAGGATCTTACTTTGGATTTGTTCAAAGGGGTAAAGTGCCCACCTAGGAATCAGACCGTGGAGCCAATTCCTATTTGGCTGAACAACGTGGTGCTCATGCAGAAGATTGGCGTCGACGGCAGAAAGGCGTTTCAGCATTTCGAGTGTCCAGTTTAGGCTCCCCCACACGTGGCGGTGAAAGGCCTTAACCCTAAACCCCAAAACCTATAAACCCTAAACAATAAACCTGATTAAGACTTGCCACAACCCAAGCATTCAACGAAAGCGCGGCGCTCCTCCCAGCAGTGACCAACCAAAGTGTTGGCACAAGATGTGGTCTTTCTCAATACAAGTTGCTGAAGACACCCGCCTGGGGTTCGGGTTCAGGGTTCTAAAACAATAACATGTTCACCCTTATCAGGGTCCTAAACCCTAGAACCTAAACCCTAAACCCCTAACCCCTAGACCCCTAAAGCCCTAAACCCTAAACCCTAAACCCTAAACCCTAAACCCTAAACCCTAAACCCAATATTGTCTTTTGTTTCTTTTGGTGCTCGTATAAGCAAGTAGTACGTAGTGCCTCGGTGGCTTGAAACCTGCTTCGCGGGCACCTCCCACCGCAGGCCGGATGCCTAAACAAGAGAACTCAGGGTTTAGGGGTTAGGGTTTAGGGTTTAGGGTTTAGGGTTTAGGGTCTCAGGGAGTTTGAGTCACACAAGTCCCCTCTGCAGGGTGGATCTAGTCACCAAGAGCTTGTAGCTGCGCTCAACACACTCTCTCGGGTTTGGGGTTTAGGGCTAGGGTTTAGGGCTAGGGTTTAGGGCTGGGGTTTAGGGTTTATAGGGTTTAGGGTTTAGGGCCGTTAGATACGTGCATTCTTGTAGACCAGTGCCTTCGACACTCCGTGTTTGATTCCCGCAAAACGCCCAGCCAGTGGGAGCGGAATCACCATTACGTGCCCCAACCCTCAACCCTAATCCCTAAACTTATGAACCCTAATCCCTATACACCCTAGAGCCAAACCCTATCCTAAACTTAAGCAGACTTTTCTTCTTGGGAACTCGTAGGATTGCCAAGTGTTGCCTTTCGCAGCCCTTCCGGGAAGACTTCGAGGAATTTGGGTTTGGGGGGGGGGGGGGGGCGCGAAGTCTTTGGGAACTGAGGTTGCAACCTTTATTGTCTGAATAGCAGGTGGGTGGAGCCAAAAACTCAAACCCCATCGACCCCAAACCTCATAGCCCTAAACCCTGGTCTCTAAAACCTTTAAGAGCCCTTGAGCCTTCAACCCTCATGTCATGGGTTTCCCTACTACCCCTTAACCTGAATTAGGCTTGATTATCCCTAAATAGCCTTAATTATAGGGAGAACCTAGAAGGGGGGTAGTCCAGAAGGGGGTGGGAGGGAACCCATGATCATGTAACTCCAAGACCAGCCAAAGCCTGAAAAACCCAAAAGACAACACGCTGTGTGGAAGGTTGGGATGTTCCCCGTTATACTAACAGCTCCCAATAGGGAGTATAGTACCCCCTATCCTAGTCCCTATCTTGCACTCCTAGTATAAGGGGGGGGAACATCCCAAGCTAAAACCCAAAATCCTAAAGGGGGGGTACTACAATCCCTGCTAAGGACTGCTAGTCAAAGGGGGGGGAACATCCCCAACAAACACCCTCAACCCTAAACCCTAAAGGGGGGCATTAAGGACTTTTTGTCTAAGGGGGGTACTACAATCCCTACTATCCAAAATACCCTAAGCCCTAAACCTAAAGGGGGTCTAGAATCCGTACTAAGGACTGTTAGTCTAAGGGGGGGAACATCCCAAACGCGAGGAATCGTCCCAAACCTCCTCCACGGAGTCCTCAGCGAATGCCTGTGCACAGCTTCCGCGCGGCCCTGCTGCGCTTTGGTTCCAGGGTTTGAGGTTGAATCCGTAGACTTTGGCTTAAAGGCTTATAAACCCTAAGCCCTAAAACCTAAATCCTAAACCCTAAACCCGAAACCCTAAACCTATACTTTGGCTTGAGAGTAAGAGTTGGGGCGTAGGGGTTGTGAAGGGCAGGGCACTCCTTCTAGCATCACCCTCTGGCATCCTTTTCGTCTATACGAAAGACTAGCCAAAAGGCTATTCTAATTAAATACGACCTCTCCAAATTATTTTTGGTGATATTTAGATTTGGGGCTTGGATCAAACGCCTCAAATTACACCAAACAAGGCAAACAGCATTCACAGAGTGGAATTTTGCACGCCCGGAACAATCAACCCCAAACGCTAAAATCACGAGATCCCTCTCACACTGCCGGCCTTGAACCCCAAATCCTAAAGCATGTAGGTCCCGAAACCCACCTTGAAGCCTAGAAGCAACGTAGCGTGCAAGCCTACTTATAGTACTGCTAGGCGAGAAGTCTGCAAGAGACCTCCGCCCGTCAGGTTCTGGCGAAGAGCGGCGCAAGCGCCGGAGCTCCTGTTGTTAGCTGGATGGGAAAACGATTTGAGGCAATTAGGGTTTAGGGTTTAGGGTTTAAGGGGTTTAAGGGGTTTAAGGGGTTTAAGGGGTTTAGGGTTCATTGTCTAGAAACAAGTGCTAAGGGCGCGCCTTCTCAAGCCTGCTTCGTGGCAAGAATCTGTCCAAGCACTAGTATTGCGTTGGAACCCGATGCGACTCCTACGCATCTTTCGAGGTAAATTTTGCACCGTGTCTGGTAATGGCACGAGACCTCGGAGGGGATGCTTCACGTCATGATTGCAGGCCCGAAGCCAGACCTGAAACTGAAAGCTGATGGACAAGGCTTTTGTGAATCTAGGGTTTGGGTTTAGGGTGTAGGGTTTAGGGTTAGGGTTTAGGGAAAAAAGGGCACCTTAGAACCCAAGATCCTGTGTGTGTGTGTGTGTCTGTGTGCTTGGGTTGCTCGAGTTTTTGGATGTTCCCGCAGCAAACGGCATGGGCCCGCTCCGCGTGGATCACAGCATAAGCCGCTCCTGAATGCCTGCCATGTACCAAGAGTAGACCTATAGGGTTCAGGGTTGAGGGTTGAGGGTTGAGGGGTTAGGGTTTAGCGTTTAGGGGAACCAACCTTTGGACCTTTTCATACACTTCTTGGGTACAAACCCTAAACCCTAAACCCTTTTTCAGAGTGCTTGCAGAAAGCCTTTTCCCTAAACCCTAAACCCTAAACCCTAAACCCCTTGTTCAGGTACCAGGTAGCGGCTGTTAGGGGCCTGACTGCACTGCGCCTGAAGACTGGACGCCAGTGCCGTTCCAAGCCATGGCCCTGGATCCCAAGAGCTCCCATAGCTGCCAGGCCTTGGGGTTTAGGGTTTAGGGTTTAGGGTTTTAGTAAAAAGGGTTTGGGGTTTGGGGTTTAGGGTTTCGGGTTTAGGGCTTAGGGCTTAGGGCTTCGGGTTTGGGATTTGGGGTTTAGGGTTTAGGGTTGTAGGGAGGGTTTAGGGTCAGGGTTTAGGGAAATTCAACTGCTAAAGCACTGCGACACGTGAGGGCTCTGACGTACACTTATGGACCTATGGACTATGACGTTCACAGAAAGTCTTTGTCCCCGAGCGTGCCCTTCCATGGTGTACCAGTGTGGCAGATGGAACAGCTGCAGCCCTAAACCCTAAACGCAAAAAAGGTTGCTCAGGGCCTAGAGTATCCCACATCCCTCTTATGACACGGACCCCGAGGATTGGGATTTATAGGGTTCGGGTAGTTCGGATTTCGGGTTACAGGTGAGGGAGGCTTTTGGGTTTACGGGGCTTGGGGGTGTCCCCAAACGGGTTTAGGGTTTTAGCGCTTAGGATCTTGTTCAGCCTCGACCCTGCCTAGTCCCTTTTCATCAAAGAGTGTCACCCAGTCATCAGCTGCAAGCGTAGGGTTTAGGGCACAGGGTTAGGATTCACACATTCCGAAGTCCTGAACCTTCTTCTCCTAGAAAACCTAAACCCTAAACCCTAAACCCTACAAAGCGTGCAGGTGAAAGCGCCGTGTGACAGGCAGCATGCCCCCTCTGTTGCGTTCACTGGTCTTGGCAACTGCTGTGCGGAGCTGCAGGGCACAGATAGCCACCTGTCTAACTAAGGATTTTGGGATCCTGAATCCTGAATTTCAGGCGCAGAAACAAGGAGTGTCCACAGTACGTCCCTGAGGGTGCATCGTGTGACTGAGACACTGAGGCCCTAGGGTTTAGGCTTTAGGGTTTACTGCGTGCCCAGATGCAAAAAGGGGAACCATGTTCCAGCGTTTTAGGGGTTAGGGTTTAGGGTTTAGGGTTTAGGGTTTAGGGTTTAGGGTTTACGGCACCCAGGATGGGCCCCAAGTTTGGCTAAACCTTAGGGGCTGCTGAGACAGCTTACCTTCCGGCTCCCCCTCTCCCCTTCTCCCTTGCCTCCCCCCCTCCGCCCCTAAACCCTAAACCCCAAACCCTAAACCCTAAACCCTAAACCCTAAACCCCAAACCCTAAACCCTAAACCCTGTACCTACAGCCAAGACCAGGAAGCCGCAGTCTGGGGCTGAGGGCTTAGGGGTTCGAAACAGGGTTGAGGAGTTCCACAAAGGGTCCAGCGGATTAAGTTTAGGGTCTAGGGTTTAGGGTTTAGGGTTTAGGGTTTAGGGTTTAGGGTTTAGGGTTTAGGGTTTAGGGTTTAGGGTTTAAACCCCCCAGAGTTTAGTGGGCTTTGGGGATTAGGTGTCCAGGGCTTTCCCGGCTGGCTGCAAGAGACCCCGTTGCAAAAGATGTCCGGGGCTTTGCGGTCGCTAGTTGAAAATCAAAATGGCTTCGTGGCCGGAGGAGTTCGGAAGCAACAAAAAGGATAACAAAAAGGGCTGATGCCCCCCCCCCCCAGTTAGGGCTAGGCACCCGATTTTTCAAAGCTTTCGCCGCAACGCCTCCACCGAAAAAACCCTGTATCCCACCCTACGATTTTACACTTTACCACCAAAAAATCATCAATTTTGACATCCCCGCCTCACGCAATTTAACCAACAAAAAATCAAAAAATTAAAAAAAAATCATCTCCAAATCAATTTTTCAAACCACCCCCTAACTCACAAACCCGAAATTCACGATTTTTGAAATTGAAAATTCTGCTCAATGTTCTTTGTCGTTGAATA